GGGCTGGGGCTAACAGTTCTAGACAGTTACAGGCAATATGCTGGAGCCTTCTGGTGACATTCTGAGTGCCTCAAGTATTTGTCTTCTCCCCTTAGCCTATGAGATGCTCATGCTATAAAACTGAGAAGGGCAAAGGAGTTAAATAAATTGGTAGCCACTGCAGAAACTCACAGCAGCCGTGATTCCACCCCCATCTCCTTCTCCACACAGGGGCTACTACATTTAATCTGACAGGGAAGTACCATGGCCTTACAACCCATCCATGAAATGTTTCACACTTGAGAAAGTACAGTGCAATAGGAAGGGGGAATTCCCAGGTACAAAGAAATTTCAAGAACCAGCATGAGTGTGAGGTGAACAGAGAAAAATCTGGGCATGTGACGTCTCAGATAAAGCCTACACAGAATGAGTGGAAAGTCCACAGGGAGGCTGGTCAGCCAAGATGCTGAATCACATGGGGAATCACACTTCCAGCTAAATTTCTGACTCACCGTCGTTTCTGTATCAACAGCACCAAGCAATATCAAAAGGAACAGCAGACCATAGGAAGGTAAGAGAGGAGGAAAATACAAGTATGGCCAACAGTTTTACATGTCAGTGTCCCACTGGCACCAAACCCTAGCCAAAGCCTTCAATACAAAGAACATGAATAGTGATAAGAAACCATCACCTTTCAGAGCAGACAAAAATAGTTGCTATTGATTTACTGTTTGTGTTTGTTACCAGATTTAGACAAGATACAAAAACCTAAATCCATGCACATATTTTTGGTACATTTATGCTTGTTTACAGATCCAATATTCCAAGCTTCTATTTGTTGAACTCAATCCTTTAAAAAGTTATTTCCTTGTTTGGCTACAGCAATTATACATCAAAAACAACTTTACAAGGGACAAAAGGGCAGTCAACAAATCATGTGGGCGTTGCGTTTTTAAGGTGTTGCAAATACACACAAGAGTGGAAGGACAGAATCACCCAGTTGCGACCCCTCTAACAAATTAAAGAGCGATATTCATGATCTGCAAAGATTCAATCATTTTCAACTGAAAAGGAGGAGAGTAACAACATGAGGCCTTTAAAGATTAGAGAAGGGGATTTGCAGAGCTCCATCAATTATGCAAAGGATCCCACACAACAAAAGCAGTTAGTAGCTTCTGAATAGAGAAGGGTTTACATATATTACATGGATAAAAAGAAAATATTAGGGATTCTACTTTAAGCTAGAATTCCTATACTCCGGCACTCAGTTACTATAGTAATGGGCATCCTAAAAATAAATCAGATTAGTCACTGTGGACAAGATTGGAAGTAAAACATACAACAAATACTAAGAGTATATGGTAGAGCACTTCAGCACAAGGTTCTAAAATCAGCAGAATTATAACCTTTGAACCAAATGCTGCAGAAAGAGACCTGGTAAGTTATTGTAAGGATGTAAAGGGGGAAGAAGAAAAAAAAATATATATGTTCCATCTGAAGTTTACTGACCACCACAAAGTAATGGACTACCTTTTGCTGGCCTGCTAGATTCAATATGCTATTTATTAATGATTTGTTCATTGCTGTTTAGCAATACCAGATGTAGAAACAGAATGACACTTAGACCCCACAATGACTAGCAGTCTATAAATACCTTAGATGAAAAGTAAAGATGAAAACCTATACATGCATTTAATGCTGCTAAGCCCACTTTATATCGTACTAGCCCATTCATATGTGGTCTCTCAGAACACTTGCATGGTGATACTTGTACCAACTATGTGGGGCAAAATGAACCTCCTAGGAATCTTTGCCCCATACACTTATGATCCCTTGAGAGGTTCAGCCTTCATATAGAAGGCAGAGAGAAATGTGAACATAGTTGGGTTTACACAGGGGTTGCACTCTGGTTCAATAGCAAGAGTTAAAAAAGTATGTACTTGAGACTTTATAGCATGATGCTTAAGAGACACACTCCTGATAAAAGCAGGAAACCTCACTTATGTTTTGAAAAGATAATACTTTAATTTTTAATAACTAAAAGAACAAAGGAAATCTGCATGTCTGAGCTGAACACTGTACTGTTTTAAATTAAATAGCAGATCTCCACAATTATTCACTTCATTATCTGAAACAACACAATAAACAGATACATATAACTCTTAAATTCAAAGATTTGGAATATTTTAAAAAGTGCCAAACTACCTCAAACTTCCACACACACAAACCACCACAGTAAGAAAAGATTTCTTTACAAGCAGATGGGTATTCTGAAGGGTGGAGGAACAGTGACATCTGGTGGTTGGCTATGTGACTCACAGGCAAGGATCCCTGAGGGATATATATAACCCTGAAGGTTTATACTAGATACTTCATTCTGGAACTCTGATCAACACATTCCAAACCAGCCGGTTCTCTGGAAGCAACTGCCTGCCATTTGGAAAAACCTAATGGTAAATTATTCCTCAAAGAGGAGATGGGCTCTGCTTCACACACAGCTTTTTCTCTAAATCAATTCCCAAGCCACCTGAATCTACAGCAAGGGAAATCAACAATCATCTCCATAAGGCATCTTTGTTCAGAGAGCATAAACTGTGATCTTAATGTCTGTGTCCTCAAACACTTCCTCAAGTAGCGCTGAAACCTTATCCCATTCCAGACGGTCAAGTCCACATCCGATCCTGGAAAATAAAGACACCAAAGTGGCTGTGATGAGCTGTTTCTGACTGAGTATGTTGTAAAGCTCACAAACAAGTGCACAAAAAGATTGAGAAAGGACTTGATTAGAGGGTGCAAGTACCTTCTCAAGGGAAAAATACTGGGTACTTTTTAAGGCATAGCAAGAACCAACGGAAGTTAAAACCACAGAAGCTGGAGTTAGAAATAAGGTGTTAAAAAAAAAAAAAAAAAGTGACAGTGGTCATTCACTGGAATAAACTTACAAGGGAAGTGGTGGATTTTCCATCTCTTCATGGCTTCCAGTCAAGACTGGATGCCTTTCTGCAAGATATGCTTTAGTCAAACAAGTTACTGGGCACAACAGATGACTAATTGGGTGACATTCTTTTGGCCTGTGTTATACAGGTCAGGCTAGATGATGGAATGGTCTCTTATTAAAATCTATGAAAAGAATGTGAAAGTGAAATTACTCCGATTACAACTCATTGGCCCGAGTGAAGGGGGGAAAACAAACAAACAAACACTTCTCTCAGATGGGCTGAGAGTCATAGGACTGGAAGGGACCTCAAGAGGTCATCTAGTCCAGCCCCCTGCACTCATGGCAGGACTAAGTATTATATAGACCATCCCTGACAAGTGTTTGTCTAACCTGCTCTTAAAAATCTTCAGTGATGGAGATTCCACAACCTTCCTAGGCAATTTATTCCAGTGCATAATCACCCTGGCAGTTAAAAGGTTTTTCTTAATGTCCAATCTAAACCTCCCTTGCTGCAATTTAAGCCTATTGCTTCTTGTCCTATCCTCAGAGGTTAAGAACAATTTCTCCTTCCTCCTCATAACATTCTATGTACTTGAAAACTTATGTCCCCTCTCAGTCTTCTCTTTTCCAGACTAAACAAACCCAATTTTTTTTCAATCTTCCCTCATAGGTCATGTTTTCTAGACTTTTAATCATTTTTGTTGCTCTGGACTTTCTCCAATTTGTCCACATCTTCCCTGAAATGTTGTGCCCATAACTGGACACAATACTCCAGTTGAGGCTTAGTCAGCGCAGAGTGGAGTGGAAGAATTACTTGTGTCTTGCTTACAATGCTCCTGCTAATACATCCCAGAATGATCACTTTTTTTGCAACAATGTTACACTGTTGACTTGCTTGTGGTCCACTAATACCTCCCCGATCCCTTTCTGCAGTACTCTTTCGTAGGCAGTCATTTCCCATCTTGTATGCGTGCAACTGATTGTTCCTTCCTAAGTGGAGTACTTTGCATTTGTCCTTGTTGAGAAGGTATCTGATGACCTGTTTCTCTGTGGGACAACCAACTTACAACATGAACAGTTCCTGGGCACTGCACATCTTCAAAATGCTGTACCAAAGGTTAACTAAAAGAGAGTAAATTACTGCCTAGAAACTTGTGTATGTAACTACGATTTTAAGGTCCCTTTGAAAGTAAGATCTCACAAGACCGGTGTGAAAAAGCAGCAAATTTGGTGCTAAAAAGAAGGATAAGATGTAAGCTATGAATACAACTACTGGTGAGCCAGTGATCTGAGTAAGTCACAAGACCAAACATGCAGTGATAATCTGCTTGGGGGCCTAGACTTATCAAGCATTTCCTCAATAGGATTCAGCACTTCAGTAAGTTATAGATGCTCTGCTTCAGAATACTACAAATTCATTCTCCATTATATCTTTATGTACCAAACGAACCTAAATACAGCATATGCTGTCCCAACGGCACAGTGCTCTCCAGCAGTCTCTACACACTGCAGAAGTAAAAAAGGGACAGAGTTCCAGATTCCCTTAAAAGAGCTTGGAATCTCTATGCATTGTCCTGCAGCCTTTACAAACAATCTACCATTAAATTAGTGTAAAGTGTATGTGCAGGAGAACTGGGCCCTAATTAAAGCTGAAATAAGCTCCTCTCTCTCCATCCTAGTTTAGTCCCAGGCTTGTTTTAAATTAACGACGGGACTGGGTCCTAACTAGACATATACAGGCACTCAATATGTTGCTGAATAAGGTACGGTAAGCCATTCCCCATTATGTTGCAACTTTGATATTTCAGCAATTTTAAACAGCTACAGTTTGGCACAGCACTAACTAATTTTATCTGAAATTAACTTAATGCAGACAAAAGTACAGAAATAACTAGGCCTATGTGCTGGCCACAGAACTCACTTCATTTGTGATCAGATTTCAACTGTACAACCCAAACAGAATATAACAATATTAAGAGTAGGCATTTAACCCTTTATTTCATAGTAAATGGTCACTTCCTAAAATATCCATTCTGCCCAAGGGACAATAAAATGTTTACTTTCTAGTCTCCGATTCCCTTACCTAGGCATGGAAATGTCAGTAACCCCGTTGTTCAAACAATGAGTTTTCATGGCTTCTAAACTCTTTTGCATATTCTCATATGTTGGTTTGTGGGAGACTTTCTTCTTCGTAATCTGTGTACAAATTAAAAAGTTCAACAGTGCATTAGCAACAATGGCACAAGCTATTTTCTCCTTAACTCTACCAAAACCCAGGCCACAATTTACTAATCAACTACCTCTTAGTATATGGTGACTGGACTCAACTAGTTATTTCAATATAAGATGTACAACTATTACCATTTAGATATTTAGTTGCAATTGTGCCACATGACACAGCAGGTCAGGGCACTAAATACTGCATTTCTAAAAGGCAATAATCTGGTTTGGAGAAAAACACTGTTTTCCTTAAACATTTTCCTGTCAAAAGATAAACTGCAATCTCTCTCATTACCAAATGCTGGGATTATGCTTACATCTGTCTCACACAGTTGAGCAATATTTTGAATAATTCTTTCAGGGAAGCTGTTGAAAAAAAACAAGCAGCTCCTGTTTCAAACAAACTGTTTAAAGCATAAACACCACACTTCAGGCAGGGAGTGGAAAAGCAGACTTTTCCCATTGCAGCATGCTAGAGAGGCTTTTTCAGCACAACTGTAACAACCAGAGGCCCAGTTTTCACATGACCAGCAGGATATGGGTCAATGGGAATTACCTATAGTTTGAGTGAGAGAGAGAGAAGGTGGAGAAATCACATCCCAGGATTTAGAGAGTAAGTTTTAGCAGTTAGTTCAGTGATCTAAAAAAAAAAGTATCAAAATGCGTGTGCATTTGTATTTGTATGCTTTTACATTTTAAAGCAAATTATGAAGGTGACCAGATCAACATGACTGAGACTGAGACATTCAACCACTGAACTGCAGGATGGCAGCAGCACAAGAATCTCCCCACTACCCTGCCAGCACACCTCAACACAGCACATAAAGGCTACTGAACAATTGTCAGACAGTAACTTCCACAAATGAAATGTGCTATTCAAATGTACTTCAATTACTTGTTGGTAGGAAGCTGTACTGAGTTTAGTTCTGAAAGAAAAATCTAGCTTGGCTTGTCCTCATAATCTGTGTCTTTATTTAAAAGGCTAAGATGTCTGTTGAGAATCTAGAGAAAAACCTCTCTTCCAATCAATGCAAACTGAGGTGGGGCTCAGTTATAACAAACCCCTGACTCTCATCCCTCTCTTACCAGGTAATATATATATCTGTCATCTCTTTTCAGAACGGCCACCTCTCCAGACTTCTTCTCTAAAACAAAAGTGAAACACAGCATTGACATTTTGTTTAAAATTTTACAATTCACTGCTGATTCTCCCAACTCCTGCTGAATAGATTAGAGATGAATTAACAGATGTTAAAGAATTTTCTAAAACAAAACTATTTTTACAAATAATTAAAAGATCAGAGACATTGTCATTCAGTGTGTGAAAATATCTCTGAGCACCATAATTAGATCGACCTAATGCTCAGCATCTTTGGTCTACCTCTTGGGAGAGGTGGATTAGGTATAGTGACAGAAATCCCCCTTCCATCGCTGTAGGAAGTATCTACGTTACAGTGCTACAGTTGCAGCTGTAGCGCCATAGTGTGGATAAGCCCCCAGTTTTTAGCTTTTTCTGTTGTTGCTGCTGCCCTCATGTTGCTTTTTCAAATGTGTTGCAGCTGGGCTAACCCAATCTTGCAGTTAACTGACTACTGCTAAACCAGGGCTGCAGCAGATGCATGAACTATAGTAGAACCTCCGAGTTATGAACCCCTTGGGAAGCGACGTTGTTTGCAACTCTGAAACGTTCGTAACTCTGAACAAAATGTTACAGGTGTGTTTTCAAAAGTTTACAACTGAACATTGACTTAAAACAACTTTGAAACTTTACTAAGCAGAAGAAAAATGCTGCTTTCCCTCTATTTTTTAGTAGTTTGCGTTTAACACAGTACTATACTTGCCCTTTTCCCGCCCTGGTCTCCGTTACTGCCTGATTGGGTACTTCTGGTTCCAAATGAGGTGTGTGGTTGACTGGGCAGTTCTTAACTCTGGCGTTCGTAACTCTGAGGTTCTACGATAACTTATTTATATCAGTGAGTTGTGAACTCTATCCCACTGGAATCCCATTAATTAGTGAGATGGAAACAGGTCAAATTTAAATACCAACATACACGGGCAGTTGGCTTTTCTGTCTGGTCTCCTCTTTAACTGGAAGTTAAGTACCAAAAATTCTCCCTGTAAACAACACCAGGGAGCATAAAAGTTGAGGGTCTCATTATTATTTATACTATGGCAGCCCAGAAACCATGGTCAGGCTCAGGGGCTTGCTGTGCTAGGCACTGTACAAATGCAGAAGTGGATCACATCCCTGCCTCAAAATAGTTCACAGCAAATGTATAAAGATCCAGTATGGCCAGTCCTAGAATCAGTGCCTAGATACTACTGTGACTGGTGTTATATAAATACCTTAGGGAAACATGGACTACTGCTAGAGGCTCAGGCTTGCACATGGACTATAGTAGCCTCCCCTCCCCACAGACATCACTCACGCTGATCCAACAGCTCCTGTATGCCACCAAACTTTTTCTTAAATAGGACAGCTATCCCAGCGCCCATGCGACAGTCCTCACTGATGCAGTGAGCCAATGAGTCCGTTCTGGGGCAGGTAAAAAGGTCCCCTTTTATGTACCTGATCTGAAAAAGAACAAACAAATAGGAGCTGAATGAGAGAAATCAACTTTGGTCCACCGTCAATGTTCAGAATCACATAAGGAAGAAAGAAAAATGGAGCTAACCAAGGCAGGATGGTATAGTGGACAGGAGACTAGACTGAGACACTGTTTACAAATGAATGAATGTGTTGCACAGCCTTTCCTATAGGTCATTTGCAAAACCTACATGATTTGTGATCAGTTCATTTTATGAAAAAACAGTCTAAATTAAAGAAAACTGGACTGGTATGGTTGAATTAGTGCAAACATATTGAATGGGGCAGTAATTTATTAAAGTAAACAGCATTGGGCTAAACTGTGGTTTGGGTTGATGTACACAGGGGTTCTCAAATTTCATTGAACAGTGACCCCCTTTTGACAACAAAAATTACTACATGACCCTAGGAGGGGGAACCGAAGCCTGAGCCCCGGGGGGAGTTCCCTGTTCCCTGCCAATGGGAGCTGCAGGGGTGGTGCCTGCAGGCAGGAGTAGTGCACAGAGACCCCTGCCTCCTCGCCGCCCAGGGCCACAGAGGTTTTGCTGGCTGCTTCTGGGAGCGACGTGGGCCCGGAGCAGGCAGGGAGCCTGCCTTAGCCCTTCTGTGCCACTGGACTTTTAGCAGCCGGAGATCGCGATCTACTGTCAAACGCTACAGAATTGACCAGTCAATTGGAATCCACCAGTTGTTGACCACTGATGTAGTCAGATTGCCACTTCCCAAAAATAACCATGCCCCAGAACCAAATATTCTTACATCACAACTCTAGAGCATATGCTAATTGGAAAACTTTATGAGGAGGAAAATGTCACTCCTTGAGTTAGGATAAAAACTGGGAAAAAAGAACAGGAGTACTTGTGGCACCTTAGAGACTAACAAAATTTATTTCAGCATAAGCTTTTGTGGGCTACAGCTCACTTCTTTAGATGCATAGAGTGAAACACACAGACAGAAGATATTTATACATACAGAGAACATGAAAAGGTGGAAGTACGCATACCAATTGTAAGAGGCCAGTCAATTGAGATGAGCTATCAGTAGCAGCAGAAGAAAAAACTTTTGAAGTGATAATCAAGATAGCCCAGTACAGACAGTTTGATAAGTGTGGGTGGCTATCTTACAACAGAAAAACTTCAAAAACAGACTCCAACGAGAGACTA